CAAGGATCTTTACAAATATTGACCTAAGGGGAGCTTACAATCTTGTGCAAATCAACGAAGGAGATGAATGGAAGACAGCTTTCCGAACAAGGTATGGCCATTTTGAATACAATGTCATGCCATTTGGTCTTACTAATGCTCCAGCGGTCTTTCAACACATGATGAATGACATCTTTCGAGAGCATCTAGACGATTTTTTTGTCATCTATCTAGATGATATTTTGATATTTTCTAAGAACGAGGAAGAACATGAGAAGCACGTTTGTCTGGTACTCAAAAAACTATGGGAGCGAGGACTCTATGCCAAATTAGAGAAGTGCTTATTTCACCAAACTAAGATGGAGTTTTTGGGATTCATCGCGACTACGGAAGGCTTGAAGATGGATCCAAAGAAGGTGGAAGCAATCATGTCTTGGGAAGTTCTGAAGACGGTTAGGGACGTACAATGTTTTCTTGGATTTGCTAACTACTATCGGATCTTCATCAAGAATTATTCTCAAGTTGCTGCCCCCCTCACTCGGTTAACGTGCAAAGACAAGCTCGAATGGGGACCTATCGCAAAAAAAGCATTTCAAGATTTGAAGATGGTATTTACTACAGCTCCAATCTTAGTACATCCGGACTTTACAAAGGCCTTTTATTTGGAGACAGATGCTTTGGATTTTGCTTTGGGAGCTGTACTTTCACAGATGGGCGTAGATGAGAAGCTCCATCCAGTTGCGTTCTATTCTCAAAAATTCTCTGCTGCTGAGATCAACTATGAGATCCACAATAAGGAACTCCTTGCTATAGTAGATTCTTTCCAAGAGTGGCGCCACTTTCTCGAAGGAACTACACATCCAGTGACCATATATACGGATCACAAGAATTTGGAGTATTTTATGTCGGCTCGGGTTTTGAATCGGCGTCAAGCTCGGTGGAGTATGTCGCTATCCAGGTTCGACTTTGTTATTACTTATCGGCCTGGGAAGCAACAAGGGTTGTCCGATGCATTATCAAGGAGATCATATCTCGCGCCAAAGGCTGGAGATGCAGCGTTTGATCAACAGTGCACGACATTGTTGAAGCCAGAGAAATTTCGGCTCAACGCAGCTATTGTACCAATTGATGCTGACTTCCTCGACCAGGTACGGGCCGCAACCATTGAAGATTTTCTAGCCCTTGATATCAAGCAACATGCTAGTGATGATAAATTCAAGATGGAAGGAGATCTAGTATATTTCGAAGAGCGGTTGTATATCCCAAAAGGGCCAGCACGACTCCGAGTTCTTCAATCTCATCATGACTTTCCAGCTGCGGGACATTTTGGATTCAATAAGACCTTGGAACTTATTTCCCGCAATTTCTGGTGGCCTCAAATGTGGAAGGATGTGAAAGATTTTGTTGTATCTTGTGACATTTGTTCAAGATCCAAAAACCCTCGACATCGGCCTTATGGACTTCTACAGCCATTGCCTATTCCGCGCCGACCATGGTCTTCGGTTTCCATGGACTTTATTACGGATCTACCACCATCGAATTCATTTGACAGCATTTTTGTTGTCGTAGACCGACTTACAAAGATGGCACATTTTGTCCCTTGCAAGAAGACATCGTCAAGCGAAGACACAGCAAGACTCTTTTTTGATAATATGTATCGATATCATGGTCTACCAGATGATATCGTATCGGATCGAGGAACCCAATTTGTGTCAAAGTTTTGGAAATCTCTTTTTGAGATATTGAAGGTGGATATCAAGCTTTCTTCGGCATTTCATCCTCAAACGGACGGCCAAACAGAACGGGTGAATCAAGTTTTAGAGCAATATTTACGTTGCACCATCAACTATCAACAAGATGATTGGGCGGCATATCTACCGCTAGCCGAGTTCGTATATAACAACACCCTTCATGCGTCAACTCAACAAACACCATTCTTTTCCAATTATGAATACCATCCAAAGCTTGACTTATAAAGTTCGTCAACGATTAACAATCCGGCCGCTGAAGGATTGGTGAAGGAGCTTTCGCAGCTTCAAACTACATTGAAGCTTCAATTGTAAACTGCCTAAGAATCTTACAAGGCATCCGCGGATAAATTTCGGAATCAAGCACCTAAATTCACGATTGGAGACAAAGTTTGGCTGCTTCGACGAAATATTAAGACCAAGCGGCCATGTGACAAATTAGACTATCGGAGATTGGGACCATTTGTTATCCAGAAGGAGATCAATCCTGTAGTGTACCGTCTGGAGTTACCAGCTACTATGAAGGTACATCCTGTCTTTCATGTTTCTTTGTTGGAGCCTTATCGAGAATCGTCTTTTCTTGGAAGAGTACAATGTCCACCACCTAGCATAGAAATAGAGAACCACAAAGAATACGAGGTGGAAAAGGTCCTGGATTCACGGCAAAGACGGGGTAAATTAGAATACTTTGTGCATTGGAGCGGTTACGATATTAATGAACGAACATGGGAGCCGGCCGAAAATCTCGCGAATGCGCCGCAAAAGGTACAGGAGTTTCATCGACGATATCCTGAGAAACCCAAGCCGGTTCGACGATAGCTTCTTACTGAAGCTTGCTCATCCAGAAAACAGAAAAGATGAGAGAGCACCACCAAAATCCATAGTTGATGTAGTCATTCTCTCCAAGATAGCGTAGAGCTTTGTTAGTAGCCCAAGTTTGTTCTTATTGTTTTAGCCTTTGAATATGGATAGCCAAGATACTACACTTATCATGTCATCTCAAGTAACTAGCTCACGAAGACGACCGCGAGATGAAGAACGGCCTGCACCACGACGACGTCGAAGGATTCCAAGCAACAGATCGCTGGTGATTGTATTTGAGGTCGAGCCTGCCTACAATGGTCAGCCAGAAGGAGTGTTTGCAGGACAATTTCACAATGAAGACACGAAGGTTCATGCTTGGTCAGAAGTTGAAGGCATGGGCCACTACCGTTGGCTTCAAGGACCATTCAATCACTTGCCTCGTGAACAACAATTGGAGTTCATAGCAGAGGTTATGCGACAGATCTTCATTTTCTTGCGTTGGTATTGACTGACGATAACATTACTTCTCGGAGACCTCGAAGCTAAAGGAGGAGGTGATGTTAGGGACATAATCCTTAGACCTTTCTAGAGACAAGTTTCTAGAACCTTCTAGAAAGAAGTCTCTAGAAACTTCCAGAAGATTCTTTGAATATTCTCTTAGAATATTCTTCAAAGATTCTCTAAAGATTCTTTAAAGATTCCCTAAAGATTCCTTTAGAAGGCTCTAGAAGATTCTTAGAATATTCTGGTAGATTCTAGGAAGTTACTTGAGAAGCTTCCCAGCTCTTGGGTAGTTGCTCGAGAAGCTTCATAGTTCTTGGGAAGCTTCTTGATGCGCTTCCTTAGAACCATAGGCCAGTAGTATATATAGGAGTCGAGGCTGAAGAGTTCTTCAGTCTCGACAACGCATCTCTTGAAGCTCTAGCTCAATTCTCTTGGCGTTGCTCTTGTACTCATCTGATAATCTAGTTCTTGTCATTTCTTCTTGAACTTCTTGTTTAGATTTCTTATTTGTATTTTTGGTCCGTCACAGTTATCTAACATGTGATTTGAATGTATTTTAGTAGGAGTAGAAAAAAATTGATTATAGCATCACAAAAAATAATAATAATAATAATAATTTATTTTATTTTAATTTTTTCTCTAATTTCTTCTACTTATTTAAAATAATGTAATTATATATTTATGACAAAAATCATATTTTAGAGATGATTTATGATTTTTCCAGTATTAGATGATTTATGAAAATTATATATAAAGTAATAAGAATAATAATAACTTATAATTGAAATTTATATATTTTAATTATAGAATAAAAATTTTAAGTAATTTTCATTATATCAATTTTAAACTAAATTAAATCATGAAATTCTTTTATTGAATTTAGTAAATTTGAATATTTTAATGGAAAAAGATTAGACATGAAAGAATATATAACTATTTAATTTATTCTATATAAAAAATATTATTTTATTCTTTATATAGCTTATTCATATTAAAATATTTGTATCAATAGTTATTATAGAATTCTTAGACATAAAAAGATAAATAAATAAAAATAATATTTTGCAAACTTATAGCCCTTGTAGCATGTTTCTTAAGAACATCTTATCTTAAACAACAAATTGCCTTGATCTAATTCACTTAATTTATAATTTATTCAATATACTTCTATTTATATATTGCATACATGATTTGGTGTCAAAATTTATTGTCACTTTATATCAAACTTCATTGATCAGTTATAAAGGGATCTATATATATAGATATACAAGTTTTTTTTTTCAAAAAGACTTAATGATTACATCTCTAGTTAAACCTGGTCAACAATGTTCATTTAACTAATTTTTTCATTAAATTATTTTCATAAAGACATCTGTATGCATCCAAATACATTAAAAATTAAAAATTAAATCAATAAGTTTCAGGTATATTTTCAACTGAACTTAGTGTATCATGAGTATTGTTGAATCTAAAATAGAATAGTAATTAATAGTAAAAAACTTTCAAACCACTTATACAAAGAAGAAAGAAAAGAACATTCTTGTAGTGTAAATTATGAACACAAATATTCAATAGTAAATTTTTGAAATAATAATAAAAAAATAATAATAAATATGATGTGATGTATTTGCAGAGCATAAATGCAATGTTGAAAAAAATACTCTTGCAAAGGATAAAATTGAAAAAATTATCACAAACAAACCTAGAGAATGAAATTAGTAATTAAACAAAAATTTTAATGTTTTCATTACTCAAAATACCAATTTGACAAAGGTTTGCAAAGACCAAAGAATTGAAGAGTAAAATAATATGAAAACATAGATTACAGATGGAAAAAAACATATCAAATTTCGGTAATACAAATAACAAACATAACAAGAATTATGATTTAAAATCAAAACTAATTATTTTTTGTGAAGTGAGCATGTAAGAGTGTCCTTGCAGTAAACGGGATGTCCACCTACGGGTCTCTAAATTTTTCTTTTTGATTAATGCTTATGGAAATGTTCCAATTGTAGGCCGCTGTAGGTCACATTTATGTCCTACCACAAGCAGCCTAATGTATAAACAAACAGTGCCACAACAGCACTCAATACGGTCGTCACATCAATGCACCCAGTCATCATTGAGAAGATGAAGAAAACTATATTCTAAGTTTTCACATTTTCCAAACAACGAATAAATCAATCTGTAGAGCAATGCAAATTCAACTATCCAACTTAGAAGCAATAGAACTTTGCAGGAGTCAGATTTCATGACAACAGTCAAAACACCAGTTGATGTTCAAACGTACTGTCGTTGAATTTCGCAGTCTGCAAAAGAAACTATTTCACTTATGCTTTTACCAACTGAATTGGTTGTGAGAATCACTATCTGCAAGTAACTACGGACAGAATGCAACAGATATAGACACGGGTTAGAAGCTTCAAGTTGCATGGCGAGGGAAGTGGGAAACAGCAATAGACTCTCCCGAAACATAGTGGCCGTGGATGGGTCTGGCGTACAGCTACCGACACTGCGGAGTCTCTTAAGTTTTGAAGCTTTCTCTTAGAATCATGAAGTAGAAATAGGGGTGCGACGAAATTGAACTGAGGTTCACATTAAGTGTGCATGATTCGGCAGATCATACGCAAAGAGAATGCGAAGGCGGCACGTTCGGAGTTGCTAAACCTGATTCAACCTCGAAGCCGTTTCATTTATTTTTCACCACGAAGCTCACTACCTTCGACAAGGCGATTGTTGTTGACTCGGTTATGTCCGCCGTCGTGGACTCGGGAGTCTCACTTTGGCATTCGAAGTGGCTTTTATAGGTGAATATCTAAAAGCATATTTATCTGGTGAGATGACATCCCTCTTCTTCCTCGGCGCTTGAGAACCAGACTTGGGTCCATAAAGTCCTGTTGCATTGCAGGACCCCATCGGGCCTCCAATGCTCATCGTTGCGAGCTGTGGCGGAAGGCCGTCGAGTGCATATGACTTATGGGGATAAGTCGAGACCTGGGAACTGCACGTATCACAGCAGCACGACTGTCCATGCTTGCAGAATGGGCAATCGGCATGCATCGGAAGCTTAGATTGAATAGGTTGACAATTGCCGTTACCGCAAAGTTGTAAGCCTTTCGACTGGGATTCTGTTAGTAGTGTCTTCGATTCCAACTCAAATTCTTTGGTACATGATGAATCGAATTCCCCTTTTGTGATCTTGGTCGGGTGTTCATAGTCTGATTGGTATGTATCCTCAGATACAAAACCTTTCATCTGTAGTGAATTCATGGATCTCTCTATTTTAGAGTACTCCTTGTCATGTGGCGCTTTAAGGGTTTTCATTGACTTGGGTGAGCTCGGGGACGAGAGCTGTTGCACCCTCGTCTGGTTTTCGCAGCAATAGCCTGAGCCACGACAAAACTTGCAGATTTGCGTGGATAACTTGCAGTTCTTGGGCTTATGGCAGTCGCAATCTTTGCACCTTGGACTGAAAATCCTTAAATGTGGGCTTGTGAACATCGTCAAATGCTGAACAAGGGGATGAAGGTGGAGGTGCGCAAGGTCACCCATATGGATTACACAATGGAGCAAGTCGACGAGGTGAACCAGTTGGAGAAGCAGTTTTACACGACGTGCGAACTGATGGAGGGGGGCATTTCGGCTTCTGACAGTCGCAGGTTGCACACCTCGGGTCCACGGAAACACAATTTCGAGGGGAATTGGCTTCGACTACATTAATCACATTTGAAATCAGAATGAGTAAGCTCAAGATGTGTGAGGTTCAACCATGCAGCCTGCACTAAATAGAAAAGCTGGAGAACGGAGAAATTTTTGGATGGCAGGGTGGAGATGAAGTATCACCTGAGCAAGCAGACATTGTCTTTACATAAGGTGGGCAGCTACAGCTTCGTGACGGGTCTGCGGCCAATTTCTTGATGTGAGGTGGACAGGTGCATTGAATCTGAGGCTGACAAAATGGTCCAAGTTGTGGACACGAACTGGGAGGTGGGTAACGGCTTGAATCCAGGGGGAGGGCGGGGGTGCACGGTCTTGACGGCGGCAAGTAAATGTCTCCATAAGTAACGTCCGAATCACACAAGCGTAAGTCACAAGGGCCACAGTCTTGAGGAAAGCACTCTCTCGGCGAACACAAGCGTCCGCAGTTTGATGAGGCAGGATTGATATTCCGGGATAGGGGCAGGTAGAGATCATCGTGTTCAACGAAACGTCGATATCCAGCGGGAAGATGGCCTTCTTTACATGTATTTGAATCATAGACATCCACATATTTCTGGTGTAATCCAGGTAAACATGATTCCACTGGTGACTGCAGTGAAGGACAGGGGCAGCAAGTATACCCGCTGCCGCCTGCAAGTCGCGCTGGCTGTTTGGGTGTGAATGAAGTACGGGCAGACTGCTTCGAAGATTGCTGTGACTCTGAAGGTGGTTGAACGCCGACGTCCCAAAGTGTACGCGGGTCCCTTGAAGATGAGCTGCTATTATACTCTGGATTAGAGGAAGGTGGCTTGGAAGAAACTACAGTGCAGCCATCCTCACGTGATGACCGTCGCGGCCAATGCTCCAAAAGAGTAGGAATTAGCTTAGATTCGGTTCCTTCTACCCGACGCGCCATCCGGTTGAACCCATTCCCAGTCATTCTGCCATATAAAGATTAAACCTTTGTCATTACTTATACAAAAGAAAGACGTTTAGATTGGTATCAAATCAAGACGGTTCTGATTATAATGCCAAATGATTGTGTTGGAAAGGAAAAAATCTACAGCTAGTGTGTTTCGAATCCAACTTTGCACTTGCACGCAATGAATTCTGTGGCCATCGACAAACAACAAAAGTTAAAAGGAAATGCAAATGTGCCTCTGTCATACCCAGTTATTCGCCGATTCAATTAGTGTGACTATCAGAAGGTAAATCTGTCACCCTATCGACATTGCACCTAAGCGCATCTGGTGAATATTCCCAGCTAGGATATTCGCCCTAGAAACCCCAGAAGGGTATCTGAGCACGACAGAAGCTACAAAAACCCAGCAATGAAATTTTGAGCTTGTAGTCAGCGGCAGCTCGATAAATTTAGTCAATAATTGTAAAGAACTTTGTAACACCATCAATCCGCAGGCATGCGAAATTAAATAAACTATTATGTGAAATGTTCCCAAAACGCCGCAGGAAAAGCCATCTTGGATCAAACTTCTTTTCTTAACTTTGTTATCATGTTTAGGGAACTGCGTGCCGACTAGAAGAATGATCAAATCATCATACTCATCGAAACACCCCACTGCAAATGTAGACATCCAGAACCCATCAACCCAAGCTGGAGTTTAAATTACCCTCAGGAACACTACGTACATCCTTGAGTTCCTGCTCCATCATCCTTCCCGACGGCAAAGGGTTTCGCAGATGCAACCACACCTTCTAAAGCATCAGGCAGTATGCAAATCACAGGAAAGGTTTCACTGTGATGCACAACTTCGCACAAGAATGGCAGAAAGAAACATCAGATCCTCACACATGGACCGTGGCTCAACATACCAGGGGCACCAATGAACATGTCAGATCACTGCAAAGTAAAATAAATAAATAAATAAATAAATAACAAAAAGAAGAAAAATAACACAAAAAACAGTAGTTGTGGAGCTTAACCGGAACAGTAAACGCAGCTAGGTAGGGCAGGAGTTGAAGAGGATGGAAAGGAGACGTGGGCCAAGAGACACAAGGGTTGCATTGAGGAGATGTGAAGGACTTCAGGTACTGCTATGCACGAACTCTTCACGTCCAACTAGTGGTTTCAGCGGACACTGGAGGTTTCTCATTATGCCCCTTCGTGACTGTATGCCTGTTAAAGTATGGAGCCCAAAGGGTGGAATCACCAACAGTGGACCGCATGTTGCAGTCGATGCACGATGCGAAAATCGGTGAATTGCTGCGCATGGTAGAGCCTTCCAGGTATCTTGAGTGCCGAAATCCTCCATTGCATTGATCACCGCCAACCATCGGCTCTACAGTTCTCACCGTGCATCTGTTCTGCTTACTTGCTGTCGTTTCTTACTAATAGGTTGGCTAGTATGTTCATCAGTCTATTGATTGTGTACCATCTTCCAATCTGCGTGTTTAGTACCTCTTATAATTATCTTTTATATCGACCGCTACCCAACATCAGAAGATATGGCGAGTCTGAACTGATGCGTTCTTATGCGAAACCCAAACCTTCCGGGTGTGGATGGAATTGGAAGACAATTTAAAGCACAGAGTTTTCGCTAGACAAGTTAAAGCACCAAGTGACCGCTAAACGAGTTAAAGCACAAAGTTTACGCTGGACAAGTTTAAGCACAATAGTCTTTATCTTTCAAATGTAAACATTTTTTATTTTTATTGCTAGAAGAAATGCAATCATTGTGTCTCTTGGCCCACGTCTCCTCAATGTAGAATGTACATGACTGATAAGCTCTGTGTGAGTCTTTGATCCAGAAACACATCACTGTATACGTACATAAGAATATACATGCATACATATATCTATATATCTATATATATATATATATATAAATATATAATCCATCTCTCACTAAATTCCTTTCACCAAACTTCTCGAAACCTCCAAACGACAACTGCAAAAACCCGGCCACTGTGGGCACAATCATGACCCTACCTCCATACCAATTTGGAATCAGACAGAACACGACAAATGTGCGGAACAACTTGGAATACACATAAAGACACAAGGTCACGTTTATTAGAATACATCGAAGTACAGGAAGGTTTTATTCTATGGACTTATCACGTACTACTGTGCAGTTGCCAGTGCGCAAGCGTGCAAAGAGATTGTCAAACAACATCAACACGGTGGCCAAAATCCGCATCTGAACCACTGCTGCATCCCAGTCACACCCATACGAAAACGAGATAAAACTAAGTCTCGATACACATCGACACACTGCACTACAAAAAGCTACACAGATATGTCAATACACCCATGGTCACAAAACTCACAATGCTCCAGACTTGATCAGAACGAAACTCCATTACTGGAACCCACTTGCAGCGATATGTTGCGGGGATTGCTCTCGGGCTTCCTCTACAGCTGCGGCAGCTGCAAGATCTCCTGTGGGGTGCTGAAACCGCCGGGGACGCCATTGAGCTTGCGGGGCAGATTCAAAGCGCGCATGATGTTGTTCTGGTTCAGCGCATCGCATTTAGGCTTGAACGCCTTGGTGGTGCACCGTAATCCAAAAGCGGAATAGACAAAGTCGCAGTACAGTTCGTAATTGGTTGTGGGATCGCAGTCGCAGCACTGGTAAAACACGCTACAGGGATCGTTCATCGGGACGCACCCATGGACGAGACTAGAGCTGGCAAGCAGTGCCACCAGCAGCACTGGCGCCAAAATGGTGAAGCGTGACAACGCCATCCCTGCTTCTATTGAAACCGAAACTGAGGATGAGCTTTGCAGTTGGCGACTTCGCTCCGTCACGGCTGGAATGCGAATGTTGAGGTAGACGGGGGTGCGGTCATATTTCACCTCGTCGATCCCTCTGAGCATGAAAAACGTGAGCCACGAAAGCTGTTCATTTGCTTATCACCTTGTCGTAGATTTTCATCTTCCCATATTCCTCATGCACACATCCAACTGCATGTAGATACCCCTTTTGTGGTGTAGCCATATGGATCACATACAAGGGTCACAACTGTGTTTCTGTAGCAACCTGGTCTGACACGGCATATTTACGTACATGGGTCGAAGCGGCGTGGACGGCCAACTTTTTCTTCTTTGTGCCCTACGGCAAAACAAGTTAATGATGGGGTTTCAATTGGTTTCAAAGAATAAAATGGTTTCAAAGGAGGGGTTAAACGGAATAATGAATAAACCAATGAAACCTCATCACGATTCTCTGGAAAAAAAAAAAGTTTCATCAGTAACGCGAGAGTTGTCTGCCCGTTTGGATGACCAGAAAAGATACTGGATGAAGATTTCTATCCATTAGTAGGCGAGGATAATTTTGTCAGGGTTGGCACAAAGATGTGATCCGGGTGTGTCTTATCAATGCCTGTATCTATCTGCAGCTGGCCCCATCTGCCATAACTTACATTGAAATTGCATGGACTAGCCCTAGATCCTACTCAGATCATTCTTCCAAAATACCAATTTTTATGTCACTAGGGATTTTGTTTTGGAGGTGGGTCTGGTGGATATATTGAAGTTCAACATGCACAAATATTGAACACACAATAGCAACAAGGTGTTATGTTGTAACATGGTTATTGGATGAAACAAAATAAAATGGATTACATTATAGAAGAGATCAATTAAAAAATATAGTAGCAAACTATTTTAAAATGGTTCGCTACTTTATTTTATAATGGATCAGCAAAAATAATATTATAAGCATCTTTAGATTAAAGTAAAGAGAAGCATCTAGCAAAATTTGCCTGAAAAAACTAGAAATTGATATTTAGAGAAGATCGGTTATAATCTAAGGTTAAATGCAAATCTTGAGGTACAAAACTACTCATCTATAGTAATTGTGGAATTCTTTAGTTGATTAGAGAGCAAGATTAAGAAACAAACTTCATGGGATTTGTTGGAGCATTGTTTTCTTGTGTGGAAATTAGCCTAGGAATGCGCTTGTCATTTGGTAGTAGAAAGGTATGATCCTACCTTAAAGTTTAATTTATAATCCAAAAAAATAATGCATAAGGTGTTTAGAAATACCTTAGCAATTTTAAACAATCTTATCATAGTATATTCAATCTCAAATAAACTTTAAATAATTCTAAAAGAAAATCCAAATAAAATCTTCAAAATAATCAAAACAAATCCTAAGGAAGCAATGAAGGAAACAAGCAATGACTCTCATTCACCACATAGATGGCTCTTCATTTTCATCAAAAAGATTTACATTTTATAGAGTTCACAACCTGTTTTACAATTCATCATTGTATTTTATAATTGATCAAAGAGTTCTTCAAAGTTCAAGTAGTGATTTTCAATGGTTGCATGGATGGATCTTTAATTTCATCAAAAAAGTTTGTCTTCTTTGAAATTCACAAGATATTCTATTAGGGGTTTTACAATTGCTCAAGATATTTCAAAGGATGTTCTATATTATTGGTGATTAAACCAAAGCAACAAGAAGGGAATTAAATATGACAAACGTAAGACAATGCTAATAATTTTGATGTGAGTGAGTGTCATGGTCATATATTATTATGATTCTTGCCTAGGTAATATGAATAGGTAGAAGTAAATAAAAGTAGATTAATTTCATAATATCTTTTCAGAAAGCTTCTTAAAAGCTTCATAGATATTATTTTGACTTTATATGTATTTATAGTTGATTGATAGATTAGAAACTTAATCAAAAAATTAACCACATGCCACATATATTGATAGTTTGTAGAATAAGATAACTATATGGTTTCTATATAAAAAAATTGTCTTATAAGTTAAGATATGTATCGTGCAAAGTCAATATGTTTTGGAGGTCTTATAGAATATTTCCATATAACTCTTAATTAAATAATATATATAGAAGTAAGAATAAAGCCTTCTTTACTCTTGTTAATTCTTTTTTTTGCTTTTAGTCTAATTTCAAGAAGTCTCTAGTTTTCTTAACTTTTGACAATAGCTATTCTAGTTTTTTTTTTCTTTTTAATATATATACTACTTTATTTCTATTTTATCATACTTCTTTGAAAAATTTCCACTTGTTTATTTGCTTCCATTAAATTCTTGTCTTTGATAAATTAGTAAGAGAATATTTATAACATCACAGCTTCGCCTTTTTTTAATGAAAAGTAGACTACTTCTTTTTCTTAATAAGACATAAGCATATTAAAAGTTACAGATTATCCTCTTCTAAATTGATATTATTTTTAGTATTTTCTTTATTCTTAAGTTCTTTTTTTATTTGTATTGAGTATTATTAAATTTCTTTTTTAAGTATTATTTTGGCAGAGCTTCTTGAAATAAAAAATGTAATGATATAATTTCAAGAAAAATTTAAAAAATTAATGATTGTAACTTATTAATTCAATTTATCACCATAAGGAAGAACAAGAATAGTAGAAACTGGAGATATAGAGATAATTGGAGCTGTTTCAATATCTATACCAAATCATATTCTTTTTTCTATGGTGAAATACTATTCAAGCACTAGAGAATCAAAATTATCTTATTTGAGAAGTTTGATTGTACAACATCAAAGTTTTGAAGATTCATTAATCAAGTACAATTTGTAATTGAATTTCAATCCTAAAGCTATTCAATTCTAGGATCATAAGTTAAGTTTATTGAAATATTACTTTTTGATTTTGCATTATCATGATTTTTATCTTTTCTTGAATAATGTGATTCAATATTAGAGAAATTATAAGTTTTTTTAGCAGAGTTTTAATTTATATATGAAAAATATGATATAATTTATTTTACAATAAATAAGATCCATATTTTGTGATAAGAAAATCAAAAAGTAGTATTTAGATAAGTTACAATTGATATTAACTAGAATGATACTGCACTTATTAGTTAATTTCTTTATGGATTACAATATGAAGTAAAAAAATTAATGTTCAATTTTCTTAATCCTCAAATATTGAGTCAAACAATTGATTTTATTGTAAAGAGTGACAATCAACTTTTTGAATTTCAATCTAAGAATCTCATAAGTAGATCTCAATGCTATTATAATTCAATGGCAACATCAACATCTTTTTAATAAATATCTTTAAAAGTAAAAGATATATAAATTGATATAGTATATTTTAAACTTCTTACTAAATATGAAAAGACTTGTCATTATAAAAAAAAGATTGTATTTATATTGTAGAGAATTAAAGCACACTACTCAATATTATCTTAAGAAGCAATTCAATTATAATATAAGAAATACAATTGTCAAAAAAGATAGTATGTCAAAAAATAAGTTTATCTAGTTGTAATAAAAACCATGTGGTTGAAACCTTATACAACACCTAATAAAGATCATATTCTCTCTTTAAAACCTTCTCTTTGTTTTACAATAGATATTAGTTTAGAACCTAAACATGACAAAGCCTTTGCCTTGCTAGACTCAAGAGCCTCAACTTGTTTTTTAGATAAAGAGTTTGTTATAAGACAAAATATACCTTTAGTAAAGAAAACAAAACTTATTCATATAGGAATCATAGATGGTTATTTATTATCCTCTAGAGACATTATTTATAAAATGTTTCCTCTAAAAATATTGATTAATGGTCATAATAGCTTTGTAGTATTTGATATTATTAGATATTTTTCTAATCCAATTATTTTAGATTTATTATACTTAAAAAAATATAATCTTTGAATAAATTAAATTCCTTATAGTCTTCATTTTTCTAAAAGTATAACTAAGAGTATAATTAATCAAATTGAAAGACTTAAATTTAGTACAAGTAAACATATATTTGTAGGTATAAGAGCTTTTTTATATTCTGTAAAAGAAAGATCATCTTATGTTATTTATACTACATTTGTTTCTAATAGTGAAAAGACTTCAAATGGCATTTTTAGCTAATATCAAGATTTTCAAGATGTATTTGA